AATAAATAAATAAATAGACAGACAGACAGACAGACAGACAGACAGACAGACAGACAGACAGACAGATAGATAGATAGATAGATAGATAGATAGATAGATAGATAGATAAATAAATAAAGCTGGATGTTATCTGCACAGTGATGATACCTCAGTCCATGCGCTATATTGTTCAGTTTTAACAGCATGGAGATGAAATGGAGACATGGGAAATCCCACACGGCTTCCTTTTATTGTCCAATATAGGACGATACCCCCATTAACAACTTCTGGAATCCTATGGAATCATCTCCTAGAAAAAAACCCACTGCAACATAATACCTGTGACCTGCACTCAGAAAGCCAATATAGAAGGATGACCATAGCCAGTCATATCAAATGAATACAAGTTGTCTAAAAGAGCTAACAGAGCTGCAGTTCCTTTGCCTTTCCATTGACACAAGGTTGACCAAACCAGTTTCTATTCTAGAAAAAGCCTGATTGAAATGGATCCACCACAGTAGTTACATTCCATAACACCTGAGGCTAGACATCATTATGGTTATTCTGACTTCCTATGTGGCAATGATGTGTTGCCTCCAAAGCAGACCTCAATTTTTTTTGTAGCTGACATATTAATCTCTTTCCTCTACTACTTTTCTGTATACATTGTTTTAAATTATCAGCAGTAACAGTCTTTGTTTCTTTGTGTCTTGTTAGGATGGCCAGATCATTCTAGCTTTGGTTGTTTAATCTGTTCTGTGACTTTTGGTCATAATTATTTCTCCTTAGTGTTTTTTGTTGGCCACTCTCTCGATCCAGGAAATTTTTAGCATCCTGTGATGTAGAAGTTACAATACAAGAACAACAAAAACAAAATTTAATTTATTTTGACACTAACAAAAAGATAACAATCAGAAAAACAAAATGTTTGTATTTATTTTTTCAGTTTTTTTAAAAAAATAAATATTGCATTTAGCCTTCTTAATTTTAGAACTGAAGAGATGGAAAGGACCCTATGGATCATTGAGTCTAGCTCCTGTCAAGGAGGCATAGTGAGGGAATCAAAGTCCCAGTGTCTAGCTCCACAGCCAGAGACCTACCACATGGTAGGCAGCATACTAAACTGAAGCAGCATCTTGCTTCTTAATTTGGCCAAGAAACTTCAGAGGTTCTATATCACTACCCTCTGTTCTGTCCTCTCAAAATACTTTGGAGTATTGAACAAATACTTTTCTTAGAGACCAAGCTAAGCCCACTTTTACAGTGCATCCTGTTAATAGCCATTGGAATTTGGGTTTCACAATACCCATTGAGATATGACAATAGCACTTTAATCTTTAAATCTGGCTACCTTATATACAGTACTTTCATTATGGCTCATTTGCCAAGAATTCCTTTCATGAATGATTACATTGAAGCTCGGTCGCTATCAAATTATACCATCTTGGAAGAGTGATAACATGAACCTGATATCAATTTGGTTCATATGTTTAGGGATGTTCTAAAATTGTGCAGTTTGGAAAATATTTGAGAACCAAGAATAAATGCTGGTTACCAGTGCAAATGTGTAGACAATAAGTAACAAAACTTATTGTTTTGTCTACCTAACTGAATCTCATTTTAATACTTTTATCGTGCAATATGTACTATTTATCTGGGTCTTGCCTCAATATCATGTGTTGTTGGCCAAATGTATTATTTTCCAATACTGTAAGTCCCATATTCTCTATCACTAGATTTCTAGATTACTGATATATTGAATCTCTCTGCTCAGGATACCTTTGACACCCTCTCTTAGATATGCAAGGGTACATTTCTCCTACTGAGGTGAAAAGTTTGCTACTGTTTCTCCTTTATCACCCCCCTGTACACCGTTATCCTATTTCTTCATTTTTAAAATGTTATTCTCTTTTGTCCCTTATTTTAGCTACACATTCTCTGTGTAATGTCTCTCTCCTTTTCATCTGCTCTTTGTCAGTATTACAAGATGTGTTAGTAATACAAATCTTAATTATAATATTAAAATATTACTGCAAAATTCATATACAGTTGTAGTGCATTATTTTAGCTTATAAACATGTCATAAAATTACGTACCAAATAAATTGAATTATAGTTTGAATATAATAAGGATTTGGAGAGAAGTTCTCCATCTGTCAATGATCATATGAAAAGCAGATGCTTCTTCTTTCTAGTCATTATAAAATCAATCACATCACTTGGGTTTGTGTTAGTGTATTATGCTATTTTTGGCTGCTTCCAGGATAAACTTGGG